AATTCATAATAAAATAAACAATAAAAAAAGAAACTCTCCAGATTAATTTGGAATGTCATTATACAGATTGTTATCTATGAGGTTTTACATTAAGCAAAAAAAAGGCAAGAATAAAGATTTATGTTTTAGTTTTAATTGGAATGTATCATCTATTAAGAACACTTTTGTTTCAATAAATCTCAAAAAAAAAGAAGTTTTGATAGCCACTCCACATTCTCTTGATTAATATATGGCTATGTACACGGTGAACTCAATGATTCACAAAATTTCTAATGCAACTTTATGTAAGAAAATTAAAAGCTCATGCGCATATGTTTGTCTATTTATGGACTGATTGAATAGATCAATGATTTTTAAAAATAGAGAACCTAGTTGTTCTGTGTCAGTGACATTTTCGTTTATTCCATCTTCCTTAATATATAGACGAGCCCAATGTCTTATGGACGTCTCATAATCATGCATAGATATTGCTTTACCAATACGTTTCAACGCTTGATGTTCTTCTTGAGGTATCTGTTTTTGTTTGATAATATCACTCATCAAACGATTCATAATCCAGCCAAAACTTAGTATAGTTCCTGATTTATATGCAATATAATACCATGCACTAGCTTTACGGAGTTGTGCCGTATCACTAAAAAAGAAAATTAAAAAATAGTTTAAAAGAAAAGAACAAAAAAATATTTTTCCTACTCTAATTTATCATTTGCAAATCTAATTCTCATTTCTTGAACAAGATGTCGAAATTCTAATAATGCCGTTTCAACTGAATCATTATTTTTCTTTTCTTCTTCAATACATGAATGACATCCTGTTATTAGTTCATATTCATTTTCTAGATTATAAGTCAATAAAATTGTATTAATTCTTGAAGTATAATATTGATATTCATTTTCAGCCTCATGAATATATGTCTCATAACCTTGAATTAAAAAGTCTGCATTAATATTTATCTTTTGATCATATAATTTATCTTGATATGTTGAATGAATTTCCCATACTTCTTTGACTTGTCTATACATGATTCCAATACTTGAATGGGATTCAAATGAATGTTTATATTTATTTTCCATAAAATCAGGATATTGATCAATATTTATGTCTCGTGGTTGTTTTGGAAGTATACCAGTTTTTGGAAAATCGACTGCTTCAGAAATAATTTGAGCTAAACGACATGAATTTTCATGACTAGGTCCATATAATGTACAACAAGCTAAATGCCGATTAGATAAAGCACCTAATGAATCTGAACTCAAATATTTGAAAAGAAAATCAGCGATTTCCATCATAGTTATTTCACCATTATGTTTCATTTTCCCGGCTGAATCGAATGTAGCTGGTGAATATTGTAATATAGCATTGTTGACGAGATCTTCATTCCAACATACCCAATACTTATAAAAAAAAATTACATGTTAAAGGGAACAACAAAAATTTTAATCTCCTCAGGACAATTAAAAACTACGTATAGGACTTGAATGTGTAGATGTGAGCCTGAGCTTGGGTTTTATTGTCAGTGCCCTAAAAATCTACATCCAAATCCCTTAGTACGTAATGCCTCTGTAATATATATAACAAGACTTCGAAAAGAATGACTTACTTCATCGCCATCTAGATCACTACCACTGATTTCATTTGGATGAGGACGTTGTCCTTGAGCTGGAAAAACTACACATTCATATAGATGATGAAGAGTTGGACAATCAACAGCGTCTAATTTTCGTATATCACCTGGAAAATGTGCAGGATTTTTTGTAATTAAGACTTTTCGATTTTTAATTATTTGACTTTGACCATTTAGATCATGAAGTTGAATAAATATTTGACCGTATTGAAGAGAATTTGTTTCATCAACAACACCTAGTAACATTCGCCCATCAGAAAGTGAAATTTGAATGTGTGATTTTTCTTTTAGTCGTTTTAATCTATGAAAAAATATTTTTAATGTATTATCTTCTATTTAGATTTTACCTTTCTTTAGCCAATAAAAGTAATAAGGAACGCACAAATGGTTCTTGAGTTAATTGTACACCGGAATGATACATGCGTTCCCAATCATAAGATCGAACATGTTGTTCAAGTGTATGTTGAGCTGATTTATTAGCTAATAATGACATGGATATTTTTAACCTTGCTTTATTTTGTAATTTCACAAAAATATGTTTTTCTACTTTCATATTTTCCAGCAATACAATCACCTGTCGATTTAAAAATGCCATTCCTATGAAATATAAATTTCTATTCTAGAGTTTTTTTTTCCAAATTCTTCTTACCAGAACTCGAATATTTAACAATTTCCAATACATGATGATCCACCTTAAATTTATATTGACTCGGGCGATATTGAATTAATATACCTTTATTACTTAAGTCAGGAGCTACTACAAATACTCCTTTGATACCATTCAATCGTGCTTGTATTACACATGGCATATAATTATTTTCAATCACCTCAGGATTATAACACATCATCGCCTAATATTTACAAAAACAAAAAAAAGAATAGATATCAATCTAAATGTGTATCATAAAATATACGTCAACAAACTTCCTTTAATGCCATTGGAGAAATTTTACCGATTCCATCAGTAAAAATTCGATCATGATCATCCAATTTATCATCGATCTTTTGAATTTGATGAGGTAAAAGCTTAAAAGAAAAAGAGTATAATGTATGATATTGATTACATATTACTTTTATAGTAGCCGTTGTGCCAGTTAATGATAATGCCATCCGTGCAATACGTCTTCCAATACACTTTTCGGATGAAAAATCACCCATCCATTGTCGTATATGTTTTGCTCGACGTCCATTATAAGGAGCATAAAACCAAAAGCTTCGATCACGTAATTGACTATTCGAACAGAGTAAAAATTCAAATGTTTGATCACCAACTATAATATTCGTCTTTCCTAATATTAAATCGTTAATCCATTTTTCATTGATTTGTATAAAATCAATTTGAGGTTGTCCAAGATCAATATCTCGAATGATAACACGACAAAAATGTTTACCAGATCCAAAAAGATTTTGTTCACGTAAAATTCGATTTCCTCGCATAGGTTTGACTGGTAAAGGATATGTACCATAAGGTGTTAAATAAATTCGAGGTACATATTCCCATTTATCTAAAATAATATTTGATGGTATTGCTTGAATATTATCAAATTCTTGATTTATATCAAAGAAACGATTAAATCGAGCTCGAAAATAAATAGCCATTAATTTCAAATAACATTTATGATTTGGATATTGTTGACCTTTGGATGAATTTGATAATTGAATAATTTTACGAAGAGTAACTATTGTTATTTGATGTTTAATTCGATCACCTAATGTTAATAACATTTGAAATGCATAACTTGACCAAAAATCTGATAAAATGTGATCAAATTGCAATTTCGGAGTTAGCATTTGAGTACAATTAAAACATCCTTGATGACAATCTAATCTTAAGACATTAATCAAAAACTCAGCGCAGGATATTAATGAATTGTATTCATGAAATTTTAAGCATATAGCTGAACTGATTACTAAACATGATCCATCTACTATTCCAAAATCAAGCGTTCTTTGAGTATATGAACGATTTTTAGCTTGAATAATACAATAACAACGTGGAACTGCTTTGAGAGGTAAAATCATCGTGTAAGTTCTAATGTTTTCGGTTGACATTAGAAAATATTTATCCAAACAATTTTGATTAAGTCTTAATTCAACTGTAAATTTAGATTTGTATTTAATCACAAGATATTTCTCACGAATATCTGTCTTCCATTCTAATAATGAATCATTTTGAATATTTTTACTCCAACAATAAGCTGCTATTGATGTCAAATATCCAAATGATATTTCCATTAAATTGGAACATTTATCTATTTGTGGTACTAATGTTTCCACAATTTTTGATCGCTGTCGAATCCATATAGGAAAATCTATACGAATATGTTAAAAGAATATAGAGTTAATAAGTAAAAAAAAAGCAAAACCCACTGCTACATGATGATCGAATCATAGTAGTTGGCATTTCATTTGGAATTTCATATGAACGGGATACTAATCCTGGTATCATGTATAAACATTTTTTACTGGGTATTTCTAGACTATATCGTTCTAGCATCATGAATATGGGTTGCAATCGTAAAGCATCACATTGTTGGTATGTAAATGAACAGTATGTCATTATTTAGTTGAGATCTTGCTTTGTTGAATTACTTTTTTTTAACGAAGTATACCTGTGTAATGTAGCTTTACCAACATTTGGCCATTATATGTTAGAAAAATTCTCTTATATATACTCTACTTAATTATTTTTCTTTTTATACTTTGCATTGAAGTGCTGCTAATAACAACGGATAAAAAAAAATTGAAATATCAGATTATTAAAGACATTGGATTACTCATTCTAAAAATTCACTGGGAAAAAACCCAGTCAGAACGCAAGAGTTTATCGAGATAGTAGCAGTACTCACGAGCTTTTGTTTTTTCTTTCTCTTTTTTATTTACAGATTTTTATTTTACAATTAGTTCTTCAATTCATTTTCTATTATTCTTTTTTTTTGTAAATGAATCATTCATTGATATATAAGGAGTACAAAATAGCAATATAATTGTAATGAAAACCAAAGAACATAACATGAACTTTTTATTTCTAATCGGCAAAAAGAATATTAATAGCAATAGTGCCGATTGTAACTGCTTCTTGACAACACCATTTCTCGGTTGGTGATTACAAAGGAAGAAAGTGGATACAGGCGTCTAGGTTTTTTTTTAATAAATACAGGTCTTGATAATGACTAGTAAAATTACTATTAATAAACAACATGATGAATATTCAACTGTCTTATTTTATGCTCTAGAAATATATAAATTAGCTGAAGAAATTCAATCATATACTGGAAATAAGTTTTTTTTTCGATTAGGTAATATTAAATGACAAGAATTTTCTAATAAATGACTGAATATTTTCATTCGTAATAATCATATTCTTTTCTTAGCATCATTTCATAATCCACTTACTAAATATTCGAACAAATATTTCTTCTTTATCATTTACCAAAATATTTTCGTCAATCATTGAAAGTTCTTTTGTCTTATTTTCCTACGGATACCATGAAATACATTCAAATTCAAGGTGAAATCGCAATAGCTTATTCATTAGTACAAATGCTTCCATCAATATCATTGACATTCACTGAACCATCAGAAATTGTTATTTTAGATATTCATGCATTACAAAATCAATTTTATTTTTCATCAAATATTATTGTTCGACTAGAATCAACCGTTGAATTATTATTCAACGAATTAAAAGCTAAAGAAACCAGCAACGAAATATATATTATTGCTTTTTCAGATGATGAAAGACATAAATGTTTTTCCTCATATATTTGATGAGACAAATTATCCAATTATTGTTTATAGTAAAACTCGACACGATACTGAGAGTGTGGGTGTGAATCTTCCATTCATCTCCAGAGTCTAGACCCACCCATACCTCTATTGCACCAATGTGTATAGGATGCTGCAGTTTTATACTTGAGCTTTAGCATTTTCTTTTGTAATGTAGGTCTGTCAGCACTCAGTCTCCACATATCGGGACCACTACTACCAACAGGTAAGCTGTGTATGTTATAATACAAGAAAGAAATCATAATATAAAAAGTTATCTCGGAATTTGTTAGTATATACTCTTGTGTATATGTATCATTTAATAAATATATTAAACAAGCTTCAATGTGCACATGAAAATTAAACTTATGATAACCTATGAAAATTGCTATACTTGAAATTATACAACAGTGGTGCACAAATACCAAGAGATAAACATCTAAGATATACCTTATAAATAGAGGACTGGTAGAGGATTATAATGGTAGATACCTGCCCAATCCATATCAGTCTATAGTATATGAAAAGTAAGAGAACACGTCATCATGAGATGAAAATGAATAGAAAAAGAAAAACAATCAAATTTTAAGTCGTACTTTTGATTATTCGAACTATAGTTCATTTTTATAAATCTCAAACTTACTCACTGCCATTGGTTGTTGTCACAGCTTTCGAATGGACAGATCCATCTCCAGGATACCGGTTTGAAAGAGAATAAATGAAAATTATTCTAGATATAAAAAATGTGCATACGAAAATTATACTTCAATTTTCTTATTTATTCTCCTTCACATTTGGTAAATCAAGAATGGATCTGTCAATACAAAAGCTCTGCCAATAAAAATTTATAAAATTGTAAATAATTACTGTAAATTATTTTCGTACATTAATTCTTATGTCAATATAAAAGGTCCTATAACTTGATTTTATTATGATAATTTATAATTTAAAAATGCTTTAGAAAGTAAAAGTTTGTAATTGAACATTTTAATCGCATATTATAACTTTGAATTCTTATCTCTTTTTTTTTCTAATTCATTTTCAAAAATACAATTAAATAGTGAAGATAGAAATATGAAACTGAATATAGTTAATTAATTATGGTTTTAGATAGATTTTTTTCAAAAACTATTACAATGGCAAGATGGGAAATTGAACATCAATTTAGTGGAATCACAGATACTATGAGAATGAATATATTGAGCACAATAAGCTCTTCAATTGATACGCATGGAACATCAAGCGTTGATAATAAGTTTAAAGTCGCAACGGATATTAAAAATTGGCTTGATGAAACTTATGGAAAATACTGGGTTGTAGAAATTGGCGATATAGACAAATATACTTCTGCTATCTCTCAATTTGAAAGCAAGTTTTTGTCGGTCCATGAAAAACGATTGGGATTGAGAATACGTATTTTTAAACAAACGGTATCATAAAGAATGGCAAGATTCATTATATTCGTAGATGTGCATTGCTGTTTTTTATTATAAGATCAATAATAGTGTGTTCTCATCTACAACCATTCGAAAATAAACAAAGATATTAACTTATTTGAGTCGATTCCGATTTTGTTGGAGAGTAGCTCTAAGAGATTATTTTTGTGTGCATTGATCTTTCGATAAACGCATTCGTTGACCGCTTCAATCTGTACTACCAGTGGTTTTTCTTTCTATTTGCATTATTACATAGATAGTTCTCTTTCTCTTATTTATTGAACACGAGAAATGGTATAAAAGAAACGAAATTCTGATTTTTTTATCTTTTGCATTCTTTTCTTAGCTATCTTTTAGACCCTTTTCACAAGAGGATCTTGACAAGATTGCATCTCAAGAATTGCTTGACAGATTGAGCTGAAAGTTTTTGTGGATCTATATATAAAGTTCTATTGATGAAAAAAAATCCATCTGTAAATATCGGATCCTTGATCTTTTATCTGTCATCCAATATGATGAAAAATTCACTATTTAGACAATTTTAGAGCTGCATATCTCATGGCTAGAAGAAGACAAAAGTCTGAAATTTTCATTGAAACTAGAATTCATAGAGAAACCATATGGAAGAATCAGCATGAGATCACTGTAAATGGCTTAGAAAAGAGCTCAGCTTTGAGAGTCCAAATGAGGCCATTAACGGGGTAGGGAATCGTACATCTAAAAGTCTAATGCTTGATAAAATATCATCTTGATCATTCTATTTGATAAATTTTCTATCAAGATAGCACAGGTAATTATCCAGAGTCGATATCTTCAAGTTATTCAGAGTAATGATAAAAGGTAAGAATTATTTCTATAAACGGTAGAGTGTCACGCTTTTCACGGTACATAAAGAATAATATGGCGCATAAAGCAATCGATCTGTTCAATGAAATAAAAATCCCGATGATGTTATTATAATTCTTATTTGTAATGTTTGTGTTCAATTAGCAGTTAGTGAAGCATTAAATTTAATTTAAAAAAATTTTAAAGAAATTCCAAAACGTTATCATTCAAATGATTGTTGTTTTAGCATCTCGATTAGATATATCTAATGAATGGCTTTGTTAAAGAGAACAATGCTAAAAAAAGTATTAGACTTTTTTAATCAGGTTGTGGATGTGGATGTTGTGGTTTCTCTTTCATCCATACCCACCTACACTCTTTTTCAAGATTGTAACACAAAACAATGGAAATTATTACGATTTTCAGATGATACACTTGAACAAATTGATTTATTTTTCTCAATTCTATTTTCATTCTAAAAGATTTCTTCAACTCTGTTATAGTATGACTCAGTTGTATCTGGTATTTTTCTTTTCTTTCTTTGTTCTGTTCTTCGATCGTACGTAGACAACACGTGCGACATAAAATGTCTTCTCTTTCCTAGATATAGTGTAGGTTTTTCCCACGTCGCCAGGTTTTCTTCCAATTCTTCTCAGATTTTCTCTAATTCGCTCATCTATATATAATTGCTATCTGGAAAATGAATATGACATTTAGTGATCCATCTGTCAAGTCATTATTCAATATATCAGGTATGGAAGTTGATAATAGATCTGCATTATTATTTCGTCTTCGATTTCTTACAAATCTTGTCTCACTAATGGTAAAATCCCTTATGTTGAAATTCAGTCTTCCACCATTAAAATAATTCGTTGTTCGTTCATGTAGAAATACTAGTTGGTTAAAAGTAATAATAAACACATAGTTGAGTTTACAACAAATATGATTTAGCATTTTTCAGAACTTTTCTCAACTTGAGAATCTTGAATATGCATTAACTTATTATTATTTAAATAGAACATTAAAAAATAAACTATTAATTTTGAAGCGTTTCAGAATCGTTTTTGAAAACAACGAATGACTTATTTCAGTACATCCATCACTGAGAAACACTCTAGTCTTTGACTCGACAGGATATCTCCTTTAGATTGATTAAGATTCATTCTTTAAAATTATCTGTGATTTTCAATACATCGCAGAGCTTGAATAGAAGCGCATTTTAGAAAATTTTGTGCGTGTGGGTGTTAGGAAGAAGACAAGCCTCGCATGCCTGATCAAAATTTCACGCACACCTACGGCCAAAATACACGTCAGAGAAAGGGAGCAATGCGTAGGTATGACAAAATGTGAAGATCGAAAAAGAGTAATTGAAATAATAAATATATGCACGTGCTCTTGTCTTGTTCTTGACAAGCGCAGAATGGCAAACCTCGTCACTTGCTCATTCTTAAACTTTTTCTTTCAAGACTAAAAGGATCTTAATCGATGATTCATTGAAAAAATTTCATCTTTCTGCAGAATGAGTAAAGGATTGGGAAACAACCAATATGCTTCGACTATTTATTACTGTCTTCATTTCGAACAAGGTGTAGTCATATAAATTTTGTTTTCGTTTAACGTTTACCTTTTTTTGTCTATCTACAGACTCCTACATTATTCAGTTATCATTGCTTTTCTTTTCTTACATGTTGCATAGGTATTTCGAAAGGTTGCAAGGAAGTAAAGAACGTAACTTCGCTAACGTTTTGATAAGGTATGTAACTATGTATGTGAATAAATGAATCATTTTTTTCTCTATCAACAATCTATCGTTGGACATCTTTCCGCTTAATAAGTAGAAATAATGCATTGACCTATTGAGAACAGAATCAAATTTTTCTTTTTTTGAAAAAAGTGGAAATTTCCAAAATTCTCAATCAATGTTTATTTTTTAAGAAACGCTGACAACTATAAGCAAAGGTAACTGATCTTTACTTTTATGATTACATGGGTTATTTCCATCTAAATGGAAATAATACTAGAGCAGGTCGATATTAAACGAAAGTTATTATTTTCAGATTAGTACATTACACACACACACACAATGAATAATATGGACTATCTTCGAGACGGACAGGCTTCCGTCGATGACGATAAAGAAAAATGTATGGAAGAACAAAATGTTAGTGAACCAAATCAAAATACAACATTAGCCGAAGAAGAACAACTATATTTGCAAGCAGCTTTTCTATGTAAGTCTTAAATAAAAATTCTTGTATCAAGAGTCAATTGTAAAAAAAATGTACCTATCTACATTGCTGATTTTTAGCTGATGTGATGCAAATTCTGAACCCAGTGATTGATAATGTTGAGAATGAGTATATGCAACCTGTACTGCTGGATACGACATCATTGTTCATTGATTGTGAACTTCCACAACCTGCTGAATATGGTAAGTTTAGAAGAAAGAGTCTTATATAAACATTAGAATGTCTATATCTAATCTGTTTTATACTCATTAGTTGAAGATGTTTCCAACACATTTGGTGCTACTCAACCAATTACCACTAACGATACGATGCGATTAGACAAAACACCAAACAAAACTACGACTCGAAAGCAAAGTAAGAATATTCTAAGTTGTATTTTCAGAATTATAATGCTAAGATATAGATTTCTACTAGTTATCTGTTAGAAAATGTTGGCAATCCAATTTCTATTTATTGTTTTTGAGAGAAAAAAAAACCCGATTACAATCATATA